CCCTCACCTTGGCGCCACAGTCGGCGCCTCGCAGCACGCAAAAGCCGATGAACACAGGGTCCGCCAGCCGCACCAAGATGTTGTCCACACAGTACACGTGCACGAACTCCACGCCCCGGCGCTCCATGTCCTCCAGGATCTGGTGGTCGGCCAGCGCGCGGTACAGGCCCCCATTGCCGTCTGCAGAGAGGCAGCCAGCGGCGGCAGGGAAGGCCCCGACTTTGAGCCTAGGGCAGCTCTGCGGCCATTGTGGCCTCACGTGACAGACAGGATGCAGCATGCAGCCCTGAGAAGGAAGGCCTCTGGCGCGGGCCCAGGATCCCCATCTCCACAGCCGGGAACTGTAGAGATGGGGATCCGTCCCTTCCTGCTTTAGGAGTGGGCATACCTGGGGCCATGGCCACTTTGTCTTTCCGCTCCAGGATGGCCCTGCCGTCGAAGGACACGGCAGGCAGCAGGCGCTGCTCGAACATGACCACGTTGGCAGGGTCCAGATGGAAGAAGTCGTGCTCCTTGAAGAACTCAGCTGTCGGCCCCAGCGTGAACTCGCTGGTCATGATGTACCTGCAGGGGGGCAGAGCTGAACTAGCCGGGACTACCTCACTCGGGGTGGGCCTGGGCACTGGGCAGGGCTGGGGCTACATGGACAAAGGCTAAACAGAGCAGGAGGACACACCAGGGCACGGTGCAGCGGGTCCCGTGACGCTCCCTAGCCAGCTGCTCCACCCGCATCCGTTCCGCCTGCAGCTGGTACAGGGTCTTCTGGCTGGGCAGCCCCACACGGTACATGCCCTTGGGGTAGGTCACACCTAGGCGAGTGCCCTGCCCACCCGCCAGCAGCAGGACGGCCACCTTGTTCAGAGCAATCTGGCGGAACCCTAGGGACATAGGGCGCCATGAGAGAAGGCCTGGGCCACGCCTATACCCGCCCTGTCACTTTGGAGCGAGCCATGCCTGGGCCTAGGGCTCGGAGTTTTGAGAAGTGTGCGCCAGGTAACAAGGTGAACCGCACCCCGAGCACAACGCCTCCCCTCCCACTCTTCGGGCGCGGCCCCCGGCCGCCCACCCGCTCACCTTCCTGCTCCCAGCTCCGTCGCGTGTCTGGGTCCACGCGGCTCACGCTGCCCACGCGCTCAAGGGGCAGGGGCTGCAGGCGCGCGGCCAGGTCGGGCTGGGGGCCGGAGGGCTGCGCGCAGGCGGCGGCCGCACGCAGGCAGTGCTCGCGCAGTGCCTCTGG